CAACTATTTTTCTGAAAATGCTTTCAGACAATCCCTGCTCCTTTTCCTCCCCTTCGAGAATTCCCATTATTCTTATGTTTCCTCTCCTAATGATATCAGCTAGTTCTTATATTTCTCTTATATTTAATTCTTCGGTTTCTTTCTTCTTCCTTCTGATTTATTTCTAGATTTCTGTCTTCAATATCACTGATCCTTTCCTCATTTGGTCGACTCTGTTTCCCAAGCTTGCTATTTCGTTTTTCAACTCTTGCAGTGTGTTCTTCATCTCCAGAAATTCTGTTCGGTTCTTTTTGAGGGTTTCAATCTCCTTGTTAAAGAACTCATTCTGCTCATCTAGTTGTTTTTCAGCTCCTGAAATTGTTGATATGACTTGTTTCGGAAGTCACAAAGTTTTTTCAGAAGTACCATCCCGAATTCTCTCTCACTTAAGTCTCATATTTCTATGTCTGTAAGCTTATTTTTTAGAGATTTTTCTCTTTCTTTCTGAGATGCCTTGTCACCTTAGTTGTTCATGGTGTTTAATGGACTGTTTCTTCACCTGGGCATTAATGGAAGTGTGTTCTGCTTTTTTTTCCAGAAAGGAGATTTATTATGTAATGGTTTCTAGCCTATTGCAAAGAAGATATTTTTCTTTTGGTTTCCAGTAGGTGGCGTCTAAGCCTCTTGGATCTCTGATTTATATAAAGTCTTAATAATGTCTTTTTTTCCCTTATAGATGTTTACTCATACTCACTACCCTTATTCTCAGTTCCCGTCAGTGTTAGCGACAGTTTCGGTAGCATTTGCTCAGATTCCCCTGGGGCTCCATGGTGATGGGTCTTGGAGGGTAAGCGGGGAGGAATCCTCTGGGTTGGGAGTTGGGGACTGCAGCTCAGCCTCAATTTTGCAACCACGGCTGGTAAAAATCAACTTATTTTTCTGCCATCCTGCTTCTTTGTCTTCTGCCCTAATGACCGCGCCCTGCCGTTGGCCGCAGGGAGCTCACAGCTTTTCCAGGCAGGGTTGTTCAGGGACATTGCTGCTTCTTCTCCCCTCCCCCCTCTTCCTACAGGGAGCGCTGGTGGCTGCGAGAGGCAGCTTCTTTATTTCTCCCAGTCCACTGCCCGACACTCTGGGGTTCTGACCTATGATAGCTCTTATGCGCAGATCCCATGCTCAGATGTGCTGCTGTGCAGTTCGGGTGTTTTTTGTTTAGTTTTAGATGTTCAGCTTATTGTGGTTTCAAGGGGAGAGGTCTGGGGATGTCTCTCACTTCACCATGTTTAATCCAATCTCATCAATAGCTTTTTAATAAGACTTGACATTGTCAAAATATGACAAATTAACTAGCTTAGATTTTAGATCATAAGGGTAAAATGCAAGAATGATTTTTAATGATTCTAGAGTTTTATTACGATTTAATTTGATAATTAAATTACTAATTTTATTTAAATTAATCTGGTAGCATAATTTATTTTCACTTTAAGAAAGCATAATCTAAAAATTATAATGTATTTAAGAATGGTGTTTAGAATACTTGGCAGTATTGTTTAAAATATAGATCTTTCTATTTTATGAGCTTATTGTTATTTAAAGTTTAAACGACTTTAAATTTACTCTCCCTTCTGCTTTTGGTCTATTTTTTGTCATATTTAAAAATTGTATGTATTGGTGTTTTTAAACAGTCAGTCCTTATTTAGGTTTTATTCTTTTTGTTCTGCATTCCTTCTTGCATGCCTGTGCTATATGAGATCGATCATCTTTATTCTTGAAGAACTCAATGTTTCCTTTAGTGAGAGCCGACTAGTGATGGATTTCCTTTGTTTTTGTTTGTCTGAAAACATTTTTATTTTACTTTTATTTTGAAGGCTATTTTTGCAGGATCTAGAATTATAGGTCATTGGGTTGGGGTGGGGAATTATGGTCATTTTAAGGTGACATTCCCCGATTTTCTGGCTTCTCTCACTTCACTCAGTCTTCCTGTTGTTTCTGTGAAAGTACTCTGCTTTTGCCCCATTCATTCTCCTTTGTAGTTTCTAGTTAACCGTATTTAAAGTCTGTACATCGCCTTATCTTCTAACCATTCTCTGCTTTCTGAATCTGCCCTAATCTGGTTTCTTTTTTACTCCTTTTTATTTTCCTTGTTACCAAATCAAATTATTATTTCGAAATTTTCATGTCTGACCTTTCTTTTGAATCTTTTTGTTCAGTTTTCATAATTTTTCTTCTTTGTGCTTATTTATCTTAAAATTTTCTCTTTGCTTTTCTTAATATGCTTCAGAAAATTCATACTTAATTCTCATGGGTACATCTGTTGATTGTGTGATGAGGGTTTTGCAGGTATCTAATAAAAGATTATCTTCACTCTTCTCTATAAATTATTAGAAGCCTACGTTTCTAGTTGTGAATGAATTATAAGGCTGATTTTGTATTGGAGCCTTGGTATTATGTAGAAAGAATGTTTTCCATGCTTGTTTTCTGCTTATAGTTTCCAGTGTTTCTGAATGTGTCCTCTCATAACTCAGATTTCATATATCAAGCTTCTTGCAGACTCTTTCATCTTGTTATCCCATTGTAACTTCTAACTTCAGAATGAAAAACCAAGCTCATTATCTCAACAACTCTACTTATACTTCATTTTTCTGTCACTGGTACATCCAGTCTCCCAGTTACCAAAGTTGGTATTGTTTGTTTCATTCATGCATCTTCATTGCCCCTACACCCAAAGTTACCAGATCTTTTTAAAGATACCCTTTAACATTTTCAGATTTCACCTCATTCCTGTCACCACCCACCCCTCTGACATCAACTCATGAATTCATCCTACCTCTTGAGTAGTTAGATTGCATTATTTGGAATGATGTAAGAAGAGAATTGTTAAGAACTTAAAATCAGAAAATATTTTAAAAATCATCATAGGTATAACTAGGTGTTAGAAATATAATTATTATGCAAAATGCTTCCAGGTATAACTAACTCTTTGATATAAATGTTCTTAACAGGCAATGAACACCAGGGAAAGTGGCAAAGCTTCATCCAGTCTAGGTCTTCAGGATTTTGATTTGCTCCGGGTAATAGGAAGAGGAAGTTATGCCAAAGTACTATTGGTGCGATTAAAAAAAACAGATCGTATTTATGCAATGAAGGTTGTGAAAAAAGAGCTTGTCAATGATGATGAGGTAAACACAATGATTGCTTTATTACTTTTAAACTGTACTTGTAAGCAATTACTTCTAAATTGCTTAAGTGTACCATTTCAGAGAAAACCTCAATGTCTGTACTTTATTATTTCAGCCTGCTTTTCTAAATATATGCTTCAATCAGATTATATAGGATATATTTAAAGTAATCTGATGATTATTAAATTAAAAAAAAATATCAAGCCATGTTATTAAGGGAAAGTTGATTGAGCTTTGTAAAAGTTTTCTAGACTGTTTTGTAATATTGAAAGATACTGGTGGTATTTTTCTTTTTGTATATAAATTGTTGTTTCATGATTATCAGTGCTTTTGATATTTAGCCTAGTTAATAATGACATTTGTGATAATTGAATTGCTAAGAACAAATTTATCATAGTTTCGATGACATTTCATTTTTACATGTATTTCTTTCATATTTTAAAATAGGATATTGATTGGGTACAGACAGAGAAGCATGTTTTTGAGCAAGCATCCAATCATCCCTTTCTTGTTGGGCTGCATTCTTGCTTTCAGACAGAAAGCAGGTAAGATTGAAGGACAGTGGCATGATTACTGGGCTTTACACACTTCAGTACATTACACCATAAGAACCTTTCCTACTGTGATTCCTGAAGTGGAAGTCATGGATACAGACATAACAGTATTATGCAATGGTTTCCTGCCACTCACTCTAATCAGAGATATCAGTTTGGATCAGCATGAAGAAATTACCTGTTTTAAAAAAAAAAATAGGCAGGTTGTAATTATGGCTGTAGAAACTCAACCTTTTAAATATCCCTAAGATTTTAGTTTTAGGACTTAAAAGTTTCCCAGAGTTTAACTAGGGGGAGGAATCTTAACTTCTTTACCTTAAGTGACAGTTGAAAATGACTTATCTTGCAAATGCTACAATTGAAGTGGGAGTGAGAGGCTCTGGATTGCAAGTGGTACTACTTTAGAAGTAGGTTACAGAATTATTATCTTGCTGGTGTACTTTCTTATATCTTCCGCCATTAAACAGCTTTCTATTCCAACTACCCTTTTGTTTTCATTGAATTACTGAGATTTTTTGTTAAGAGTAGATCATATAACGTACTCTCTGTGTTGTGACTGGTTAAGAGTAGATCATATAAAGTACTCTGTATGTTAAAATGCAAAGTTACACAACCTTATTATGGATCTTGGTTTCATGAGTTCCCTCCTTTGTTTTAGATTGTTCTTTGTCATAGAGTATGTAAATGGAGGAGATCTAATGTTTCATATGCAGCGACAAAGAAAACTTCCTGAAGAACATGCCAGGTAAGTTTTTTGTTTATTGTTTGTTTGGGTTAGATTTTGAGGGGAGCTGTGGGACTCTTTATGTGCCAGTGGTTGAAAACAGTGGATAAATCATTTATTTTGATACTAGTTAATTCTTTATAAGTCATGCAGAAGCTAAGCTAAAAGTTAGTTTACATTATAATATATAACATAATACATATAACATATTATATAATAATATAAGCAATTCAAAAGTATAAACAGTATTAAAGGGGAAACCGTTAGTCTGGGAAACCCAGTAATTTTCAAATATTTTGCCTATTTGGCATCAGCCTCTGAAGTAATCGATGAATTAACAAACATTAATTTTATCAGGTTTGCAGTGATCTAGGACAGTTTTTATTAGAGGATGATTATTCATATATACTTGAGTAATAAAATAGTTCTTCTTAAGCTACTGTGTAATTCTGACTATTCTTCTTGTAATTATAATTTTTTAATTGTTTTATTGGCTTTTTGTCCTATGATCCCATGCATGTTGATGAATAAGAGCAGAGTGTTAAGTTTTATTTATTTAGTATCCTTTCTTTGATATTATTATACAAGATTGTAAGTTGTTTATATGTTGGAAGAGTGGGGAAGGATCATGGCCTTGGATAACAATTGTGATCATCAGTGCCATATTTATTTTATTTTGTTAGTCATAATTAGTTATTCTCACCCTTTTTTGCTTCATGAGAGTAATGTCAAAATGAAGTGTATGAATTTATAAATGTCTATAACTAAAGGGAGAGATTTTTTAATTAAATTTATTGGAGTGACATTAGTTAATAAGATTATATAGATTTCAAGTATACGATTTTGTAATATATCAGCCGTATACCGCATTGTATGTTTACCACCCAAAGTCAAGTCTTCTTCTGTTACCAAATATTTGATCCGGTTTACCTTCTTCTACCTCCCCCATCCCCTTTTCCCTCTGGTAACCACCATAATGTTGTCTGTGTCTCTGAGTGATTTTATTTTTTTAAATACTTTATTTAGTGGAAATCTTGCTAATTCATTGATTTGTTTTCCTTGTCAGAAAGAGATAGTATCCTTCAATTTCATAAGAAGGTATAAATTGTACTAATCTAATCTCAGGGCTAAACTTTTTTTTTTTTAATATACTATATGTTTATTGTTTATTTAGGCTTTATCAAATGGTCACCCTTCATAGCAAAGCCACAGATGATATTTTAAATTGTGAACATAGCCAGTGTTTGTTCCTTGTTTGTTCAGTTGGACTTGGGGAAAGTAGTATAGTTTTATTGCGTTAAAGTGCCAATTCTGATTTTATACCATCTTTGCTTTTCTAGAAACCTGAATGTAGAATAAGGACTCAAGTTACCTATTCATAAAATTAAGTAGCTAGAAGTTATGTAATAATGTACCTCCAAATATGATTGTGATAATATTCACCAAAGCAGCCATAAACCAGCTTGGGTGTTTCAATTTTCATTATTCAGGTGACAAGTTCTGGTTATCACCAATGAGCTGGAGGCACTTTTTAAAACTTTTTTCTTTAAAATGTTATTATTGTAGAGTGATTTCTTTAGATTCCTTTTCTAGAATTTTGGTATGTATTTTATGGTTCAAGTAGTAAACTTTTAGTATTCTTTCTATTCTAGACCAATCAGTGGGTCTTAGCATTTTGGGAAGTCACTGGTCCCTTAAAGAAGTGATGCAAGCTGTGGAAACTCTATAGATATAAAAGATGTACATACAACTTCCAATTGTAGGAATATGGACTGCCCAAAGTCCATCTAAGGACCCAGGTTAAGGACCCCTGTTTGAGACTTTCAAACTGTTAACTTCGTGAAAAGTGTGATTTAACTTATAGTGAAACTTTTGTAATTGTGTTTTGGGTTCAGATATTTTAAAGTGGTACTTCACTTGTGTTTGATAGTGTCCTAAAATCATTGGAAGAAGAAAATCTTTTGACATGGTTTTGATGTTTTGTTTGCAGACAGGAGTAGGACTTATATATCTTCCTCTAGAAACTTACCACAATTGAAAAATTTGAACCAGATGGGTTATTTTTCATTTTATTTTAGATTTTACTCTGCAGAAATCAGTCTAGCATTAAATTATCTTCATGAACGAGGGATAATTTATAGAGATTTGAAATTGGACAATGTATTGCTGGACTCAGAAGGACACATTAAACTCACTGACTACGGCATGTGTAAGGTGAGAGAAGTTATTTTGGTAATATAACTACAGAGATGGAGAAATGATTGCTACTTTATTTAGAATACTTTTTGGAATTCTAGCACAAAGATAAATTTACTTATTTCCTAACCATTTATGAAATTTCATATTTTCTGTATTATATGTGCTATGAGTTAATTTCTCTTTATTGTCTGCAACTTTTTGTCTTGAAAGTTGTGACACTATTAAAAATCTGGAAATAAAAATTGCCTATAGTCCCGCAACTTTAACACAACTACTTGCATATCAACATCAATTTTTTGTCATTTGATTATAACTCTTAATTTAAGATTTTCCTAGGAAATCTAACATTTTTAATAATTAAAATGTAAATATCTGACATAAAGTACAGCAGAACAAAATAAGAATTTTAGTTATTCTCAGGACATGTCTTTTATTTCTTGGTGGTTTTTTCTTTTTGTAACAATGTTTTATTTAAAGGCTCAGTCTTTTTCCACAAAATGTATAGGGAGCTACACACTTCTTGTTAAAGTAGCGGGGACAGAATTGTTCTTACACAGTGATATGGTGTGTGAATTACATTCCCGCATTCACCTGAAGGAATTGCCTCCAGAGCCAGGAGATTATTTAAAGGCTAACATTAAGTAAGACAGTCTAATAGGACTGCAGATTTAACCTTATTATCTGTTCATCAACATTAGAAAAGAAAATCTTCACCTAAAGGTATACAACTTTTATGTACACAACTCAGACATTTTATCTTTTCTTATATTAATTTTTTCTTAAATTTTTCTATTATGTAAGTTTTGATCATAAACAAGTAGAGATTTAGTAGGTAACCCATCGTGAATCCGTCACTCAGATTTGCGATACCTTTTGATCTGTGTGTCGTTTTCCCCCCAGTGGATCTTTTTCTCATTTCATAAAAAAAAAAAAAAAAAAAGAAGAATAAAGAAGTCTTATAATTTGCCAAGGGAAAATAAAACTGAACAAAAAATATGAAGAATGTTAGCCTTGTTAAAAAATGTACAAATTAAAACAATGAGGCTTATTTTGCATGCCCAGATACTGATTTTATAATTATAATAGTCTACAAGAGTTTAATGAAATGGACATTCTCATATGTCATTGGTGAGTGTATATATTGTTGTAACCTTTTTTAAGCAGTTTGGTAGAGATGTATTAAGACTCTTTAAAAATGACCATATTCTTTGATCTAGGAATTCTGTCTTTGGGATATCTTGAGTAAATATTTTGGTCTGTGAAGATAGGTTTATGACCAAAATATTTTATTGTTTTTTCTGATAAATATTTTAGATAATTGAAATGGCTACTGGTAAGGAGAATGATTTAAGGAAATTGTGGAATGACTAAAAAACATGGCATACAAAGTCATTTAAAAAGATGATTATAAAAAGTTCGTAACAATGTAAAATGCTTATAACATTAAGTAAAGTTTTAAAGTATATTCTCTCATTCTATATGTTATATATCCTATTATATATTCTATTATGTAGCATCACATATTTATTCCGTTTACTTTTACATTTTTTTAAAGTTATTCTAATGCGTATGCATTACTTAAACAATGAAATTTACAAAAATGAATTAAGGCTTTCTTTCTGTCATTTTTTATTCAAAGAAATTTGAGAATCTTGTTTTGCCTGGAAGATTTTATGAGAGAAAAATTACTTAATCTTTTCTTAATCTTAATGAAGAATAAAATTGGTTTATTTTACATTCTCATTCTTTCTGGAGATCCTCAACCAAATTAATTAGGATCTTTGATAAATCTTAGAGGTCTTATTTAGTAAGTCTTTAAATTGGTTCGCCTGTCTACCTCCCTTAATGTTTTTCCTCCCTTTGCAGGAGCTGCTTACGAATCACACACAAAAAAATCATTGGAATCACAACATATTACTTACTAAGTATATCTTATAGATGTGTTATATTTAATAGAGTAAAATTTAAAGAAAAATACATACACCATACCCAGAATATCTCTGGAGGGACACATAAGAACCTCATAACAGTGGTTGCCTCTAGGGAGCTGAAACTGGGTGTGTCAGGGACAGGAATGGGAAAAAGGCTTGATTTGTTGTTTGGAATTTGTACCGTATAATGTAACAATAGGGAAATGGTTAAATTCTAAGTACCTATGTTGTTTAATTTTATATACTCAATAATAGGAAGTATAAAGTAAAAAACATCTTTAATTGTATATTTAATATTACTCAGCTTGTTTTTACACTAGCTTTTATTGTTAATATCTTATTTAATTGCCTCATGACTAGAGAATAGTCTGAATGATATTGGTTCTTGACATGTATTCCTTTGCGATTTAGTATTTGGTCAGTATCCCATGAATACTTAAAAAGGATATATAATCTCTATTTTGCCTACAAAGAGTCTCTGTCTTTCACACACTCTCTCTCTTCCCTTCTCCACACACAGATATATGTATTCTTTGTATAATTTATATATATTTTTTAGCTCTATCTGGCTTTTGTCCAAATCTTTCTCTGCTTGCTAATTTTTTTGTTTGAGTGATCTATCATTTTCTGATATAAATGTGTTAAAATCATCTGTGATGATTTGCGATTGTATTATCAGTTGGGTTGTGGTAACAAGATATGATATAGACTAGGTGTCTTCAAAAACATTTATTTCTCGTGGTTCTGGAGTCTAGGAAGTCCAGGATTAAAGTGCCAACAGATCCATTGTCTGGTGAAGACCCTCTTCATGGTATGCAGATGGTTGTCTTCTTACTGTATCGTCACATGGCAGGGAAAAGAAAGGGCAAGCTCTCTTCTTGTAAGGACACTAATCCCATCATGGAGGCTTCAAATTCATGACTTAATTACCTCCCAAAGGCCTCCCTCCCAATGGTATCACATTAGGGCTTCAACATATGAACTTGGGCACACAAACATTCAGTCCATTGCGGGGATTGTGAAATTATCCTAATAATTTTGTCTGTTTGTACTCTTTGTATTTCAAGGCCATGTTGTTATGTGCATACAAGTTTGTTATAACTTCTTGGTGACTGTTCCATTTGTTATTGTGTAGCTTGTCTATTTATGCATATTAGTGTGTTTTGCCTTAATTTTCTCCATCCTGTAGCTAGTAAAATACAAAATCAAAAACGTGTGCCTTAGGAACAGCAGCTAGAAGGGAAACATAATGCCAGCTGTGGTTGTGTTAGGTGGGCTTTAAAGTGCTTCTTTATAAAATGTGATTCCTTTTACTCATATAATTTAAATTTTTCTATTAAATTTTTACTTGTATATAAAATTTTTTAATGCAATTTTTATCTAATTGAACTGACTCTTTGCCAACAACTAATGATGACAGCTTTTCTTTAAGCTATTTAGTGGCAGTCCATGATTTTAATAAAAAAAGCAACTGTGTTAGTGATATTTTATTTAAGCTTAATAAGTTACCTACAGATGCTGAGCTTATATAATAGATAAAAGAGGTGACTTTAAAACAGAATTTTGGGTCTTATTATTTATTTATTTTCTTCTTCTTCTTCTTCTTCTTCTTCTTCTTTTTTTTTTTTTTTAAATAAAAGGAAGGATTACGGCCAGGAGATACAACCAGCACTTTCTGTGGTACTCCCAATTACATCGCTCCTGAAATTTTAAGAGGAGAAGATTATGGTAATAAATTAGTAGGTGGTATTTTAGTTATGTGCTAGAACAGTAGTTAAATGTGGTGCAAATTGCATTATAGTACACTGTAGTATTTCAGTACTGACCTTATTAATATAAACTTTCTTGATCCCCCTTGAAACCTACATGAAAACCCCAGACTCTGCAATGAAAGACAGCAGAACCTAGGCAATATCTAGAGTTACATATTTGCATAATATTTCATTAACGACAGCACTAAAGAGCACTAGGCACTATTCTAAGCAGTTTACAAGTATTATTAAGTTAATCCTCTAAATAATTCTGTGAGGTAAGCACTGTTAATTCCTATTTTATAGGCGAGGAAACTAATGTATAGGAAGTTTAAATAATTTCCCCAAGGTTATACAGCTAGAAAAAGGCAGAATAGCGATTTAAAACTTCAGCCATGTAACCTCAGAGTTGTGAACTTCTAGAAGATTGTTCAGATTTCCTGGAATATTTCCCTCAGGAATCTTGAAAGATAGTGGAGAGATTGTCAGGAACCAAAGGATATGTTTATCTTAAGAAAATGTTTTACTACTTGAGTTCTGGCCCTCTGATTTCAGCAGATGTAAAAGAAGATGTGTACTTTTGGTAGCTGCTCATAATCTGATTCCAAGGTTCTTCAGGGATCTTTAATGAGCTAGCAGAAGATTAAGTTTCAGACCAAGGAAGGTTAGTCACAAATGAAATTTAATTATATCCTCAACACAAAACAGTAGATACAGGCCATGAGTATGAAATTATAGATTTATTTTCATATTTTTTTCACATTTTTCATATTTTTAAAGTTATCTTTTAGGGACCTCCCTTTATTGATAAGTGAAATATTCCTATAATCCTCCATGCCTACGATGATAGTTATGCATTTAGAGTTTACTTTTTCATTATGTAATAAAATGAATCAAGAATGAAGATTGGATAATTTGTTACTTTAAAATTTCTTTTTTGAAGGATTCAGTGTTGACTGGTGGGCTCTCGGAGTACTAATGTTTGAGATGATGGCAGGAAGGTCTCCATTTGATATTGTTGGGAGCTCTGATAACCCTGATCAAAACACAGAAGATTATCTCTTCCAAGGTAATTTGTAGTATTTTATGCAGATTCTCTGTAAATGTATTCTAGAGCATGAATGAGGGTAGCACAAGTTATTGCTTTGAGTAAGAAAGAGGAAAATAATCTGGACAATATACATCATAATATGTGAGGCTTTAATTTTTTGGAATACATTCTTTTCTACCTCACTACTCTTCATTCCCATTTGCCAGTTACCTTCTCATTCTCAAAAACATAACAGATTCCTTTAGATTGTATGTCACAAACAGATTGGAAGAAGGAATCCTGTGGGTAGAGGGGACATGGACCCGAGGCTGAGTGCTTAAGTTCAAGAACAATATGGGGAAAAAAATAGAGTACCAAGAAGAGGGATTGAAAGGTGGGAGGAGCCCCACAATTGAGAATACAAAGAATTGAACAGAACAGAAGCAAGCAGATAAGCACAGGACTCCCAACATAACACATAGTCCAAAGAAGTGTGAAGGCTGCTGTAAAATTCTACATTTAATAATTAAGACCATTCCAGGAAATGAATAGATATTTTATATAATAGGAACTTCAGATGGACCTGAACTATGTGGAAGGATGTTCAACCTCACTACTAATTAGGGGTATGCACATTAAAACATTAACGAACTACTATTTCATATCCATCCATTTGGCACAAATTTTAAAGCTGGTAATATCAGTGCTGGTGAGGATGTGTAGCAACTGGAACTCTCATAGACTGCTGGTGATAGTGAAAGTTGATAAAACATCTTTGGAGAATAATTTGGCAGTGTTAAATATAATGCCATTATTTTTATCTTTCCAGTTATTTTGGAAAAACAAATTCGCATACCACGTTCTCTGTCTGTAAAAGCTGCGAGTGTCCTGAAGAGTTTTCTCAACAAGGTATAGTGTATAATAATCTTTAGTGGTTTAGTTCTATATAAATTAAACTGGTAAGTAGGTTCACACAATGTAAAATTCCAGAATAGCAGAGGATGTAGTTAGATCTGGGATTTGTCTCTTCACCAGAGTAATTTGACATTAGATCCTGAGATGAGTTGTCCTTTCCGTTTTGCCAGTGTACTCCCAGCTACATATTATGTATGGTGTTTTTAACGTAAATGACATATACCTTGTACTTAATTAGGGAAAAATTGCCTCTTGGGGGATAATTTCAATTATACTTTCAGTCGCAATATTGAATTTTCTTTGGATTATTATTCATAGACACTCTTTATTTATTGAGCAATTGGGGCAATAGTGTTCTCTACAAATTCTGTCTATTCTCTACAAATTCTCAGGTTTTTAGGTAGGTACCATTACATAGGCATGATTAACTAAATCATTGGCCAATGGTGATTGAACTCAATTTCCAGCCCCTCTGAAAATGGGGCTCAAAGTTTCAACCTCTTCATCACATAGTTGGTTCCTCTGGCAACCACCCCACATTCTCAAGTATATAGAGGCCCAACAAGAGTCACCTTATTAGCATAAATTCAGGTATGATCAGAAGGGATTTGTTATGAGTAACAAAAGACACTCCTTTCACTCAGGAAATTACAAGGGTTTAGAAGCTCTGTGTCAGGAACCTGGAACAAAGACCAAGTATATATACTTATTGTATCACAATGATCTTGGCAATTATAAATCATATTTTAAATAAATGGTAGTTTAAAATAGGTCGATGTGCATTTACCTTCTAAGATAAATAATATATCTTTTAATAAAATAAGAAATCGAAGTTTATCTTAAATGAGTACTTTATATGAGGAAAGACTTTAACTGGAAACCTAAGCTTTAACACAGTGAAAAATGAAGGTGAAAGGTGTTAATATGCAAAATAAATTGCCTTTTATTAGAAAGAAAAATGGGAACATGTTCTCACTCAGTAATGAATAAGCCAAGACTTTTTACAAGTTGCATTCCCCTTCTCAGTCCAATGATTTAGATAATGGTTGTATCATTATTGTACACAGTTTATGGATTGTTGCCATAATTAGGCATGAGGTTTTTAAATTAAGCTAAAAACTTGTGAAGTTTGGGGGTTTGCATATTTCGACTGTCACCGTAACCCATGCCAAAGAAATAGCTGGATGTCGCTCAAATGATTCTGCTGCTCTCATTTTCCTCCCATTTTTCTTTAGCAAGGACTGGTGACATAGCTCCATTTTAATTACATGATAGCTGGAGAAGGAGCCATGAAAAATCATAACTTGTCACAAGCTTCAGATACTCATTTGCATCTAGTGTTGTACCTTCTAGAAATGAAAGGTAGACCATTCTGATTTCAGTTATAAAGGTGTAACAGACACAAAACACAGGTCACAAAGGTGATGTATTCTAATGCATGATATTCACCCAATTTTGAAACATTTCTTTGCACCATAGGACCCAAAGGAACGATTAGGTTGTCATCCTCAAACAGGATTTGCTGATATTCAAGGACACCCATTTTTCCGAAATGTTGATTGGGATATGGTATGTAAATTTTGATTGTTTGTTGTATTAGATTTCGTTATTACCTTGGGCCAAATTCAATTGTCTTAAAAGAATACCGGAAAACTAGTATATCACAGATTAAATTACTTAAAATCGTTCTCTAAAGTGCTTTTTAAAAAGCTTTTAACAGCTTAGAACATTAATTTAGTGGAGCAAGTTGTGATATTATTGATACCTGCATCAATGTTCAGATTTATAAATCATTTTCATCATTATGAATATTGTAGAACCTTGCCTAGGGACTCACTTTAATAAGACTGAGAAACATGTGACAGCAGATGAGAAATGTGGAGGTGGAATTTTTCTAAGAATACAGGCTTGAACTGTCATCCAATATGTCTTTCTAGATGGAGCAAAAGCAGGTGGTACCTCCCTTTAAACCAAATATTTCTGGGGAATTTGGTTTGGACAACTTTGATTCTCAGTTTACTAATGAACCTGTCCAGCTCACTCCAGATGATGAGTAAGTATTTCTATAGACTGAAATATTTTTAAAGTTCTTTGAACGTCCCATTTTTAGTGGCTATGCAATGTTTTATTATCATATTATACTATAATTTATCTAACAATTCAGTTACAGGATATTTGAACCTATTATACTATTATAAATTATAACAACTGCCATTTTCTATTTTGCTTTACATGCATTATCTATGATTCTCACAACAACCTTGTAAACCTAGTTATTGTCATCTTCAGTTTACAGATGAAGAAACCGAGGCTCAGAGAGGTTAAGTAAAGTTACGTAGCTGTCAGGTGACAGAGCCAGGATTCAGACCCAAATCTGAGTGACCAAGGCCTGTGCTCTTCCCACTGTATTGCACTGTTTTCCATTCTGATGATGACCAGGTGTCTTGAGTTCCTGCATATTAAGATAGACTCCTAGAAAGGGAATTAGGTTAAAGGGTATGAAATTTTAGAGCTCTTGATATGTATTGCCAAATTGCTTTTTTAAAAGATTGCATCAGCTTATCAAGTCCAGCCATCAGTGATCTGACCTGTTTTTTGTGTTTATATTACATGTTTTTAAAACATGGTTTAGAGTAACTTGGGAATATTTTGATCATTTACATGTCTTTGCAGATTCATTCTCTCATCTCAAGGAGGCCCTTACTGCTTGGCAGTCATTTACATCTTGTTAATTCTTATCCCATTCCTCATAGCAGCTGTTCTAAACTGTCTCAACATTTTAGAAGCCTTCATTCCTACCCCTGCCTCCATCATTCTTAATGGATTAACCTTGCCTTAACTTGACTGCAAGCCTTGAGACCTCCTTGGTGTGAGCTTTCTCCCTTTCAGCTGTCACCAGACCACCTTGCATCTCAGAATTGATCTCTCTCTCTTCTCAAACGTTTTCTTTTTCCCTGTTCTCGGAAGGCTATCCTTCCTTTACAAGGGGCCCTCCGTTTTCCCAGACTTGTTCCCTTATTTTCCTCCAGGGTTTCATTTTGTCAGTTGCCTCCATTAAAACACCTTTAACTTCTCGTTTTCACCTTTTTCCCCTCTGCTTATAAACATGCTCAAATATCCTGTCCCTCCCGCCCCCCTGCTGAATCTTAGCACTTCTTTGAAGCACCATTTTTTTCTCATTTTCTTTTTATCTCCCAGCTTTTTCAAAGGCAGTTAATAGATGGTCATGGTAAAGGAAAAATAAATAAGAAGTATCTTTTATCGGATGCCTTCAGAGTAGTCAGCGTTGATTACAGTCAACATCGATTGTGTTGTACTTTCTTACTGCCAGCATTTTAACCTCTTACAGCTTAACCTGCTCTTTCAGCTTTGAAGGTTGAATGACTTCTTAATTTCTAAATATTAAGGTATTTTTTGATCAGTTCCCATCTCCCCTGATATCTATAAAGCATGGCCTTGCTTTGGTTGTCACTGTCTATCCTGGTTCTACTTCATCTCTGTGACCATTTGTCATCTTTTTTTGCCCTGTCTCCTTGAGACTAGAATGTACTGCGGTTCTGTTCATGACAGCCTTTTCTTTGCTATATGCACTTTGTACCTTGGAGATTTGTTCCAGCCCTGTCGCATGGATACCAGTTACTTAAATGACTCCCAGCTTAATTGGCAAATAATTATTGAGCAAAAGGTGCTCCACTAAGTACTAGACATTCAAAGATGATCAAGACATAGGTCCATCTTACAAAAAAGCTTACTGCTTTCTAGAGGAGAGAGATATATACCAAAATCATTATTTCAGACAGCACCAGGTATCAGAAGGAGCACTAGATTTAATCAAAAGATAAGGGTTTGAATCCAGACACCACCTTTTACCAGCTGGGTAACCTGGGTGTGAATTACATAACTTCTCTGAGGCTATTTCTTCTTGTATTGTCTAACTCACAAAGTTGTTGTTAAGAATAAATGAGTGATGGTTTTTAAAGGATTTAGCTCCCACCCTGATGTCTGTTTTGAGCTGCATTTCCATCTCTTGTCAGATAGCATCTCCCCTAGCTCGTCAGATAAGCACCTCAAACATATTAAGTCTGAAATCAAAGTAATGCCCTTTTATGGTCTCTTTTTCTGTTGTTCTCAATCAGTTCCTTGTTCTTATTCACCTTTTTCTGCTCATTGCATCAGCATGTATTCCTGTATTCAGATTTCAAATATCAGTGACTGTTGACTCCTTCTTTTCCTTAACTAGAAAATATCTTCAGCTGCCAAGTCTATGTCTGTTTTTCCTTTACTTCATCATTTGCATCAGATCCTTCTTTTCCATTTGCATTGCCATAAGCTCAATTTAGACCTTTTCCAAATCAGACCTAGAATATTATACCATCCTCTTAATTGGGCTCCTTCTTTACTTTGCAACCCATTCTATACATCTCATGAAGTACCACTCCAGTTCTTTAAATACTTAAATCAGAAACCTTTAGTAACTCCTGCATTGCCTAGAAGATAAAATCTATCCTCTTGGCTAGCATTTAAAGCCTCCCACCATCTGTTCCAGCCTGACTTAATAGCCATATCTCTCACTATATGTTAACACAAATGCTGTGTTCTGATCAGTCTCAGTTACTCAGCATTCCCTGATAGTGTGCTGTTAACCTTTGCTCATGCTGTTTCCTCTATATTCTTCCTTCATTTGCATCTATTGAAACTTTCCCCATCTTTTAAAGCTATCTCAAATGCAACCTGATCTTTGATGGATTGAGGTAAATCTTCTTAGTGTAAACATCACTGGATTCTTTGAGCTAGCCATTACCTTCCTTCCAGCATCATCTGCCACTTAACACCCTTCTCTTCCTGTGCTCCAGCTCTAATAAATGTCCTGTATTTCCCCAGACCTAGCATAATCTTTCATCATTCTGTTCAGTAAGTGTTTGTGGAGTGAATGCTGCCTTTTTTGATTTCTAGAAGTCACCCTTTTCTTCAGAACTGTGATTAGAACAGGACTTAGCTTGTCCTGTCTAAAACTTAACAGATACTACTTTCTCTTGTAGCTTTCTTTTTGTACGAGGTACCTTCCCTCCTTGAACAAGGGCACTATATCTGTGTAACTGTGCTCTGCACTATGGTGTTTGAGTGTTAAAATATTCGATAGTACTACTCACTGATCACTTTTGAAGTAGAAGCCCAGTGTAACAGTGTCCACCTCTCCACACCCTGCGACCCACTACTTCTCTGTGGTGGTCGCTCCTTATTCCAGGTCTCTCAGTGTACTTACTTGTTCCTATTGCCTTTTCCTTTCGGTTAACTTCTGGGATTCTCTTCACCATATTCCATCTGGCCGTTGAAGTGCCTGCTAAATTGAATACTAGTTCAGACCTCGATGTTTACCTGTAGTTATGAATGTTCAGGTCAATAGTTAAAATTAACTAGAATTGTGACAACTTGCTCCTTTTTTATTCTCAGTCTTCAGTTTTAGACTACCTTTTAGTATAAACTTGCTTATTCACTTATTAGTCTTTTTTGATTTTCAGTACTCATGAGTCTTCTAGATAATATTTTGGGATTAATCTAAAAACTCATAAAATATTTTTTCCATAAGATATATAAATTAGCCTTATTTTTTTTCTTAATCTTATTTTACCGCTTAAATAAAAAAATTGATGAAATCTTGATTATGAAAATTAATTAATTTTTTTCAACAGTGATATTGTAAAGAAGATTGATCAGTCTGAATTTGAAGGTTTTGAATATATCAATCCCCTTTTGATGTCTGCAGAAGAATGCGTCTGATCCTCATTTCTCAACTGTGCATTTTGTTTTTGTTGCCATTTAATGCATGGAAAAGTCATTACCAGCCTGGAGTCAATGAACTGTATTATATTTGCCACCTACAGAAAAGCACTTCAGTATCTTCTGTTGTTGACTGTAAGAGTCAATTATTACATCTAAGTTTAACTATGAAAAAAAATTGAGACTATTTCCAGGTAATCATGTTAAAATTTAGTTATACTGATAATCTAGCAGGCTACTGATAAGTAACGAAGTTGTCCTTTTTTTCTGAAGGAAATACCACTCCTTTTAAAAAGAGTATCTGTTACATTAAGGCATATGGTGGGATTATATCATAAGCCTCCCATGATTTTTGTCATTCTTCCATAAGTCATTTAAGTGGTTAATTTTGGAAAAAAGATTAATTCAAAGTACAGCAACCTGTTATATTACCTGTTAGTTTCTGAATTCTTTGTGTTTAAAAATTCAGCTGTAAATTTTATCATTGCTTTGGATAATTAAATTATTGAGTTTTAAGGCAACAGTTATTAAATTGAATGATAATAAAAGATATTGCTTGCTTAGAATTGGGGAATACAGATCTTTCTTGAGAAAAATAATAGACATTTTCTTAAGATTCCAAATCATTAGCTATTTTTAAAAAACTAATACAAGTGATTTCTTTAATATATGAAGGGGTTAGCTTCTGAGCTTGTCCCTTTAGCCAGAACTTTAACTGGAATGTTAGTTAATACATGTAGTTCAGAGGATCCAGGATGCAGTTGAATGGAAAATTACTGAGTATATAGAAAGGAAAAAATAGAAATTTAAAATAGATACAAAAAATTTCAATGGTCATATTTATTTCTTATTGGAGAATAAATCTCACAGTTGCTTTCTGTGATTTGATTTAAATAAAAGATTGATACCAAACTTTTAAATGCATTCCACCTATCAGGCGGAGGCAGAATGTATACTATTTTTACCTTATAATTTAGTATAAGAAAAAAACTTATCTTCTAATCAATGTGTTAACCATGATTATTCTTCCCTCAGACCACACTATCCATATTTTTGGACAGTTTATGGCATCATCAGTGAAATCCAAGAAAAATAATAAACATGAATAAACATTCAGGACACAGCCATACACACATACATACATACTCACACACATCACAATTCTAACTCCTTAAGTGAGTTTTTGTTAAGTAGGTAATACATGTAATACAGAGTAGAATACATTTCAGGGGCAAAGTTTTTCAAATTATTTTTATTCATGTTAGTGTTTTAGCAATGTAGTATTTAAAGCAGCAGTCCTAGACCTTTTTGGCACCAGGGACCTGTGCTCCTATGAGAATCTAATGCCTGACCTCTGAGGTGGAGCTGAGGCGGTGATGCTAGGGCTGGAGAGCTGCTGCAAGTACAGATGAAGCTTCGCTCGCCTGCCGCTCACTTCATGCTGAGGGGGCAGAGGTTCCTTATAGGCCACGGACTGGGGGTTGGAGACCCCTGAATAGGGATGCCAGTGATAGCATCCTTCTGTTGTTTAAGTATTCTTTTTATGAAAAGGGATTTAAAAAGTAACTATAATCATCTAAATTACTTATAATTGCTTAATCTTAGTACAATTTAATTTTTGGGAAAGCTATCTAGTCTTAAACTTAGAATGATTTAAAATTTGTAGGCATTTAATTAACTTTTTTGAGGGGGAGGGGGATGCTACATTTCATTAGAAATGTAATTTTCCCCAAAGTTTCTGACCATGTATACTCTCTTTTCATTAATAACTAAGTCTAAAAGCAATGAAAACCTCAAAGGAAAAATGTTGACATACATTCACATATTTATTTTAGAGATATGTGTTTCTTTTAATACCAGAAACTTGTTTTAAAACAAAAAGCAGTATTCACTTCAAACCATAAACTTAGAGAAAATTCTGATATCTTATGTAAGAAATATGTTTATGATCTTGCTTTTAAGTGGTGCTGTTTCCTCTATGGCATTAGTTCTAAAATTTTAGGATGTGGAATAATCACCAAGGAAGTTTAAAATGCACATTACTGTTCCTACCTTAGAATTCTGTTAGGTCTTTGAATGAACTACATTCTGAGAAACATTTTCTATGAGTTATTCTTTTATTTTGTCCTGTAGTTAAATATTAGAAAAGATTATTCAATGCTAAAACATTTTGAGAAGGGGTAGGCAATGAATTACATATCGATAATTTTAAATAAATGTTGAACAAATAACTTCTTCAAATTAGATATCTTCTCAAAAAAAATCCATCAGTGTTCTATCAATAATGTTACAAATGGTGAGCATTTTTCTATGGTTAAGTTTTAAACACTATTCATGGTAGTCTTTTGTTTTTAAATCTTTTTTTTTTTTAACTAGTAAGATTCATTGTGTATATTTTATGTAATTGCATTACAAATATGTTTTTAATCATGTTCTGTTTTTTGTAGTCTTCAAGTGCCATGACAATTGTTTTTATATTATACAGAAGTTCTCTCAAAATACTCATCAGAAGAATAAGGCAGTTGACAGTCAGAATGGTTGGAATTGTGATGTTCTAAGAAAAAAATTTATTTTGTATAAGCATGTGGTCAGATCATTTTCTGTATATGCAGCCTTAATTGGATAGCAGGTATTTTACTTTGTACATTTACTTTTTAAATTTTGTTTTGACTCTTGTCATGTAGAGTATTGCCTTGGTCATCATAATGTAATCTGTATTGGTGTGTTTTGTTTTGTTTTTTATTTTAAAATCTTTAAATAAAATGTTTAATACCCATTAAGATTGGAATTTATTTAATACATAACACCAGAAATTTGTTGAAGGTGTATCAAAATTTGTTTAAAAAGGAAAATGAGAATTTTAGAGTTTGGAATTTTGCTGTATGTAAAACAGCATTCTGGTAGTACTGATGCCATATTGTAGATTGGAACTCATAAAATATTTAGTATACTTTTAAACTTGCCCTTCGTTGCATCTCTTCTGTTGGTAAACAAATTATTGAAAGATCAGCTGAACATAGAACATTTTAACTTTTACAACTGAAGCAAATTTAAACAATCAGCAGATTATTCCCAAATTGTGTTCTACAGTGATCTAAAGTTTTAGAACTCCTTTCTCACTTCTAGCTATTGTCCATATATAAACAAGTGTGAGCCTGGTGTCCCACATTTACAACCATCTTTAACATAAGTTAATGTTTCCTTTCCTTCGCAAGAAGAATTAAATCTTAAGTGCCTTAACTTTTTTTCTTAATTGACTTGTCAGAGAGCTGGGGCTTGTGTATTAAAACGGTCAAAGACTGATCTCCTATGTCTGTTATTTTATCCTAAATTCAACTCTTGCTCAAAATGGAGTTAAAGGCAGTATTATTAAAGAACTGTTCAGGCAATTCCCTGTATCAAATCATAAATTTGGTTGTTTGCTCTGAATTAGTAAAATCCCAAAACAGAGTCCAAAGAGGAGTTTGATGCTTTATGGAAATTTTGCATTAGGCATTTCATTTAGACACTGGGACAACCAGTTTCTCCCTGAAAGGTAAAAGCCTTTTACTTTTAAAATTCAACAGGTTGGTTCTGGATAACTCTTAACAGGGAGTCTGAGTAGTTTGTTTCTATAGTTTATTGCTCCAGAATATACTGAAATTTACTATGCATTGGTGCTAAATAAGGCTAATAAAAAGGCAGAACATCTACCCCTGACATTCAAGATGGAAAACACATTCAGAGAAAAATGTTTGTCTCCACAACAAATAGTCCAGTAATAAAAGCCAAATAAGTGCAGTAAAACACATACATTATGTGGTCATGATAGTTTATCAGCTTCACCAGTGAAACATGAGTTTTGCTTGACATATAATTGATCCATGCTAGGAATTTTTAGGTTTTTGGTAGATTCTACAAAGCTTTCAAAATTCGTATACATTTAATAAGAGTAAAATCTTAGATGCTTATGTATACGTAGTATATGAGATCTAATATATATACACAAGTATAGTATATATGTGTATATAATATATGGTTATTTTTGGCTTCTGAGCTCAGAAATATGAATTGGACTACATGGGAATGGGAGAGAAATTTGTCAGATGCTTTTGCTTAGATTCAGTCCATCTTTGAAATTTATAATTAAAATGAATCCAGCTCAGAGTGATTTTTGGATGTGAAATGGGGCAATACAGTTCACCTTCATGAAGCAATTTGTGTCTTATAGGGATTAACAGTGCCTTTTTACTTGAATTAGTATTTTTAATGATTTTATTGAAGAAAATGAAGTTACAAGTATCTAAGAATTAAGTGGCTATGTATTTAGTCTGAGCTTTCACGGGATATCTGAAAGTTATAACCCACGACAGATGGATTCACTGGACTCGAGAGAGCTTTAGCTTAAGTTTTCATCCACAGCTTAGCTTGTCAGAAGCAAATTCTGATTGCGTAAGAAAGCCCATTGAAAGGCTCTAGCAAAATCCTTGAAAAAATTAGACACTTTGTTTTTTCCATAAAAGGGAAGTGTGCTGAATTTCTAGAGGTAGTGCCACGTAATCAGATTTAAAACTTACATGATATAAACTATCTGCAATGTGGGTGGCTACCCTTGGTGACATTACATTATTCATAATTAGGAGTAAAATCATGTAAAGGTAGTTAAGTAAGGAACCTAATTCTAACACATTTTATGGCCCTTTACAGAAAGTTTTTTTCTAAGTAAAATTTTTTCTAGGAAATCTAAGCTTTTATTTAAAATTCAGATTAGAAAATTTAAGGATAATGAAAAGGTGCATTTGTGAACTATTTGACTCGTTTACCCTGTTTAAGAATATTTTAATGAGGAAATTTGAATCAGTGTGACAAATACTTGATATTTTGCTAAATTATTCCTTTTTTTAGGTTAAAAATTTTAATTTATGTATTTATTGGAGGCTTTACAATGTGTCTAGTACTATATTGATTCTGCAGAATTTAGAAAAGTTTTATCGTAAGGAATTTTTTATGATATGAGGAATAAATTCATTCCAGGAAAGTTGGCTTAAGTTTAAAACAGAATTCTTTGTGTACGTTATCCCTTTAGGCAGGGGATATATGCTGTGATTAAAATAAAAATTAACATTCTCCCCCAAGTACTGAGATCTGAAAAATATGAAAATGAGGGGACACAGCTGTGTATCTGGTTCTCAGAATGATGATTCCGTCTGTTTCACCACCACCAGGGGCCAGTCTTGCTGTAAGGAAGGTCAGAGTTGCCAGCACCTTAGCCCTCTGGAGGAGGCAGTATTCACTCACAACAGGCTAGTTACCAAGATGTTCCAAGATTTTCCCAGTGCTGATGATGTGTATTTTGATTTTATAAAACTGTTAAAAAGATACCATTTGAAATTGCTCTGAAGGAAATACCAAATATGTTATCTGTGGGTATGGCAAGTTTTCATAGAATTGCCTTTAACTGTTCTGAGTGTTAGACTTTCCATATTTCTTCAATACATATAAGGACCTACTATGTGACCTGCACTGAGATAGAGCAAGCAAGAGTCTAGTCATGTCTTATTTCGTGTTGTCTGGGCACTCTTCCACCTATGAAAGATATCTTTAGCTGAAAATGAAATGGGCTGATATTGATCGTTTTACTACAGACAAATTCCGTTAAAACAAAATCCAAGAAATTGTCCACATTCTTTAGTTGTGGAACGTTCTATATTAAATATTCATTTCTTTAAAAAGTGTCTTTCACAGATTTAACCCATAGATATTTGTAGGCACTCAAATTATCCATTAAAGACACAATTTCAGAATTTTTCACTATGTTACTATTTCAAAAACACTAAACACTTTTGTACTGGAGATAAATAGTTGAAAGCATCAGTTTGCCAAGGAAAGAAATTTTTCTTGGTATTCCCAGTGAAAATTAATTTCCACCATGCCTCAATTCCAGGCAGTTATTTACTTCATTGCCCCAAATAACTGATTGTACAATGTACCGTAAGTTGTATTAAACAACCTCACACCTTCTCCTTCACAGGTTTTTCATCAACAACTTTTTTAGATTTGTTATGTTGTTGGCACCACTTTATAATTCACTCATTGTAACTTGGTAGTAGGAGTAACTGAGAAATATGAAATCTGTCCACTTACAAAGTATTCTTAAAAGTATAAGAATTCCTTTTTGTATTTTGAAATAGAAGAGAAAGCTTTGATTTTTCAGAGATGCGAAAGGAAATTAAGTTTCCCAAGGAAAGTTGCTCCTTGATGTCTGGTCCACCCATAGAGAGAGATCATTTATGAATTTTAATAGCTGACATGGGCCAGGCATGTGCTGAGCATTCTGCACACATTTCATTTAATCCTAACAATCCTCTGACACTGTCTTTCACTCCAGAGCTGTTGAACTGCAGTCTTGGTAGGTGGGACCTCAGACTAGCATATCAAGCTAGTTTCATGTTAAATTTTGAGAACCACTAACCTATGTTAATATGTACTATTATCACTGTTCAACAGATGGAAAAAAAAAAAGATTTAAGGAAGTTAATTTGCTGAAGGTCCATATAGTTCCAGGGTCTAATGCTTCTCAAGACAGTTTAAATAAAGTTTGCTCTAAAATCTCAGTCTTTTTTTGAGAAATTACACACTACTAAGGCACTGTTTTTCAAACTCCATCTTGCTAACTAAATCCTTGATGGCCATCTCGGTGGGTCTGTTTAGTCTCTTCTCTACAACTATTTGTATTGCCTCAACCCTGCCAGCCTTTTCCTATGATATCGCACTCCATCTTTCCCTGGTCTGAGCCTCCCACATCATAGACCTATGAAATACACTTTCTTGGAAAGCCCATGACCCCTTTCTTTCAGGCACCCAGAACTGTGATGTGGCCTATCAGAAATTGCTACTATGTTGAACACTTGGTGTGAGCCTGCCCAGTAAAATAATCCTGTGACTGGCCTCTGCCTACCTATGATTCCCTCAGGACAGAAAGTCCAGGATGCTGCTGATTTCCAGGAAACTAGGATGTCCTCCACAACACATACACACACTCCTCTAATCCACTAGGTGACTGCTGGGGTTCTTTTTTAAATTTATTTATTTAAATTAGTTTCAAGTATACAGTACATTGGTTAGACATCTATATAGTTCATAAAACAATCCCCTCAGTTGCTCGCTCCCTCCCTCCTGCTGGGATTAGTTCTGTTAGACATTTTGGAGTTAGTTATACCCATGTGCTGGTTATCTGTGGTGACCATCCAGATGTGACTCCAGTGTTTGTTTTCAAGATAGTCCACAGCCACTGACAGAAATAGATTTCCTGATAAATACAATAAAGAAAGCAAAAGGACAGTACTTTCCTGTTGTCTTAAATGATTGAATTCCACTTCTGCTGTGAACTAGATATGCCTTGCCTTGTTCTGAACTATATCTGTATGATATTCTCTCTCCCTCTTTTTAAATTAATTTATTTAAATTAGTTAGTTTCAAGTATACAGTACATTGGTTAGACATCTATATAGTTCATAAAACAATCCCCTCAGTTGCTCCCTCCCTCCTGCTGGGATTAGTTCTGTTAGACATTTTGGAGTTAGTTATACCCATGTGCTGGTTATCTGTGGTGACCATCCAGATGTGACTCCAGTGTGGTAGCTTGCTTGCCCTGCACTCTCATTCCCATTCTTTGTTCTTGCTTCCCCCAACTCAACTTTCCCTCCTCCCCCTTAACATTTCTTCTTTGCTCACTGGGACCTTCCTTCCTGGGTAAATGAACAAAAATGTTCTCAGCCTATTTATTGCACTTTCCCTCCCT